AAAAATCGTCATCTTCACAAATCAAAATCAGCTGCGCGACCGACACATAATGTCAAAGCACACCATGCAGCCACTAAAGTCCATCCATTTTATCAAGATTGCTGTGGACTTTGTGGTCAAGCACATATACTGCGTCGTGTTTATTTCCAAAGATTGTTTTGAAAGAAAAGGTATTATTGACAAGGCCAAGCTGTGTCCAAATTGTTTGAGCAAGTCTCATGCATTGCCGCAATGCACAAGCAGTAAAAACTGCATCCAATGTGGTCAACGTCACCACACGCTGTTACACTTCCCACGGACTTCGGAAACCAATACGGCTGCGCTGCCACTAGCTCAACACACCTCCTTTTTCAATTCAAGTAACCCCATCAAATTCCCACGCTATGTCCACATCAACCTTTCATCTAAGGCGTGTAACAAAAGCACATGCTACATTATCAGCAAATTCTGCACATTTTGGTCTACGAACATCCGCGGTTAACTCACCCAGACAGGTTTTTTTTTTTTGCAAAACTCGCATTCAAGACCGTTATAGTACACCCATCACCACTAACGAACTTCAGCATAATATCTTTCGAATTGTTCACATGGTACAGTGGGAATCCTTTGGATGTGAAATTCGATGTATTAAACGTAAAATCAACATATCCACAACAATTAAACTAGTCACTAGTTTGACACCTTTCCTAGATGGAAACGAAGCTCATATGCGGTCGCTTACATCATGTGAATCTACCATATGATCAAAAGCACCCATGATTTTGTCGAGCAATCACCACTTTAGAAACTTCTAATCGACTTTGCTCACCAAATTACATTATACGGTGGCGCGCAATTGACGAAAATTGTGGATCATTCACGCTCACTGTGAGACATCATCTCCGACATTGCATAATTTTCCTCCGGTACAAACCTTCGTTAGTCTCTCAATTGATGGGAGACCTTCCCGCAAAACGTGTAAATCCACCTCAACGCGCATTTGTTGCAAGTGGAGTGGACTACACAGGTGCCATCGAAATAAAATCGTCAAAGTATAGGGTGCACACCTTGTATAAAAGTTACGTAGCCATATTTATATTCCTTGCAACCAAGGCCGTGCACCTTAAAGCCGTCACTAGGTTGTCTACCGACCATTCCTTGTGGGCTCTACAGCGTTTCATCGGGCGACGTGGACTTTGTCAAGACATTTATAGTGACTGTGGTACCAACTTCATTGGTGCAGATGGCATTCTAAACCTAATTACCAAAAATTTCGAGCCGATTTGGAACGCGAAGTCGTCGCAAGACCTACATATTCAATGGCATTTTAATCCACCCCAACTTTGGAGGATTTTGGGAAGCCTATGTAAAACCAATTAAATACCATTTGGACCTAGCTGTCGGTGGAACCCGGTTAACATACGAACAGCTATCTACAGTCTTGGTTCGTACTGAGGCGTGCCTTAACTCTAGGCCGTTATGCCCACTTACCTCCGATCCAGATGATCTTTTGGTGTTCACACCCGGGCACTTTCTAATCGGCGATGCTTTACTGTCACCATGCAAAACATGAGAAATAGGCAACAATCGTCAATGGCAACAAATTGGCGACTCACCGATTTATTGCTGTGGTGACAAATCGGCAACATCACTTCATTCATGTCAGTTTTGAATAAAAAAGTTCTCAAAAATTCCGAAACTTATGAATATGGCGTCAATAGTATTGGCCAAAAGCATCTAAATTATGCCCAAGGACAAGATTGATAAAATAGGAAGCCTCACAGCGAGAAAATGAATTAATTCCGATTGTAAGTTGCAATTTGGTATACAGAAAAATAAATGAAGTATTAAAAAGAATAAAATTATTCCAAATATCGCCTGAAGCGATAAGAAAAAGACTCATTCAGGCAATAAGAAAACGACTCGCCCAGGCGAGTTGCCTTCGGCGGACGTTTTAGAGCGACCGGTAATAGGAAATCGATTCGATGGCAATATTACCGGCAATAAATTTGTTTCCGAGGGCGACACGTTTTCTTATTGCCGGCAACACAAATTGTTTGGTGGGCGGAATCGGCTTCTGAAAACAAAACGTTGTCGTTACAATATTTTGAGCTCTAAAGATCGGTTCAACAATTTTGGATAAGATGGTCCGCAGATTGGCTCTCGCATCTTCAAGCGCGTCCTAAGTGGAGACAACAAAAACCAAATCTAGCAGTCTGTGAACTTTTCTTGATAAAGGATGATCGATTACCACCCAATCAATGGTTATTGGTGCGTATTACAGATCTACATCCCGGATCAGACAACCTTGTTCGTGTCGTCACTGTTCGTACGCAACACGTTCTTTACAAGCGGTCGGTTTCTAAAATTTGCAGATTGCCGATACCAACTTGCAATGAAGCCAACCTAATTCACTAACCTAATTGTTATTTTCATATAGCCACCACGGTACCTTGACTAACTCGCTGTCATCAAAAATAAACTTCGTCATAATGCTGGATTCAGCATAGGGGGCGGCATGAACAATTTGTAGAGATGCAAGTCACTGTACTACATCAGTGAAACACAGTCCCTCCTTCGGTACCGCCACTGTCTACGCCAGCTGGAGTAACAACTCTCACTTGCTAAGCAGTATACTCGTTTTCTACAGCTACACCTTTATGTATGCTCCCACTCCATGCAAGGGACGGTTAAGCTTGCATTGTCCTGGAAGCTGACGAGGAAATTCAGTACAAATCAAACGGCGGACATATGGGTATTTGATCGATATAGGCGGTCATAAGTCTGTTTTTTTAAACCTATCGTAGGAACAAAAAAAATACTACCTGCCACAGTTGAATAGTTGCGGAACAATAGGCAACCCCTACCCCGAACTTATGACGCCGCTTTGACGGAGTATCTCAGTCGCAACTTGTCAGTTTGTGATAGTGCACGATTTATTTTACGACATTCATTGTGAAACAGTTATACAATTAAAACTTGTTATGAAGTCTGAGGACACAGGTAAATCTACATTTATTTTAAATAGTTTCGATTTAGCAAAATTTAGTCTAAGCAATAATATCAGTAATCGGATATATTATATTTTTTTAGTGATTATTTTTTCATAACTGCCATACCTAAACAAAAGCGTCAGCGTTGTCTGGCTGTCAAAAAATTCTCATGCCCATACAATTTGTATGAAGCATACCGAAACAACGCGGCGTCAACGCTGAGCGGTTGGAAAATCCGATTTTGACAGGGCGTTAGGTATTGAAGTTGGCTGCAGAAAAGGGCGAAACTGTCCTTTTCGTGTTAGACACAAACAAACCTATGCTTATTGTTGGTGTTATTTCTGGTGGTATATTTGACGTAGCGTTGACGCTTTTGTCTAGGTATGGCACTTCGGCGCTAACGCTAAGCGTCAGAAACCGCTCCGCCCAACGCTTTTGTTTAGGTATCGCAGTTACTTTGTAAACCGTAAGCTTTTAGTTATACTTCCACGCATTTCCACGTTACATTACCAGTTGCGTTCTATAGAATGGAGCTTTGATAGTATACTGGACAAAAATTAGCTTCCGATAGCTGCCGATGAGTTTTTTATGACCAAAAAATTTTAGTTTGCATACATATTTTATCATTTTTAAGTATTTCCTTTACTGTAGAGTCATCAACTGGTTCTTGCTATAGAGTAGTAACTTGAAAATATTTATTTGATAAGATGCATCGACAAAATTCAATGAATTTTGAGAACAAAATAAAGTTTCTTCGAAATGATATATTATCATCTGACACCTCCGATGAACAAATAAGAGATATAAAGCACAAATTTTCACAACTAAAAGCACAGTTTATACAAAGGTGGATAAAAGCCCGTGGAAAAGACGAAGTTTGTTTTTTTAAAGTAACGTAACATGGCTACAAGGAACATTTTCAATTCCCAAAAGGTATGCCGCGATCTGGTCATGTTGAATAGGTTACTCCTAAGCTCTGATCCACTCATTAGTAGTTTCAGGCCAAAGCCAAAAGAAGCAACCAAACCCTTTTCAAAGGAAGAAATCGATATGTTGCTTCCAGCTGAACCAACTAAGGATGACACGAAGTCTGGAGAGTCTTCAGAAGAGGAAGAAGGGTCCGATGAAGAATCTTGGCACTCATCATCATCCTAAAATAGTTTTTTACACAAATTTTGTTTTAGAATTCTATTACACATTTATTATCCATTGCATTACAAGATAAAATTGGTTATTTCCATCATTTTTTTTGTAACCTATATCTCAAGGAAGTCCATACGCATTTTAACAATAAAAACAAATTTTTGAGCAACATTATAAAAAAAAATACTTTGTCTGTTATTCCCTTAGTTAAAGTTGAATTTCATTTTTAAACAGGTGGTAACCCTGCCACATGTTGTTTAGAAATGAAGCCTTTCAAAACCATTTCAATTGAAACTCATATTGTTGTAATTCAGTTAACTTAACTATATTTAAGTCTTTACCAGGTGGCAACTCGTTGCATGTATTAACATATATATAAACATCGCCGAGACGAAC